TCGGCCCGTCGGGCTAAGATGCTCGACGCGCCACGATCGAAGGAGGTCAGCTGTATGCTGAGGCGCTGGATGCGCGATTGAGTGACACCATCAGTGTTTGCTTTGCGGCGGGGACTTGCATCACTATGACGAGGGTCATTGTGGTCCCGGTGTCAAGTTCCTTGAATTTGATAGCGCGGAACGCTGTCCAGTCTAAGGCTTAGACGCAAGGTATGACTTTATCTTTGGTATGGTATGATTGAAACACAATGAGCCATGGATAGATTGGAGATCGAAGATCTTGGGCGCTACGCGTACATCTCCTGGTGGAGCTTTAGTGAGTCATTAAATCACATCTGCTAGGGAGCAGAAGCGCTATAGGTACAGACGCTAGACCGGGACGGTCAATGCTTTGGATATCGAAGTATTCGAGCTGTCAAACACCAAAGGTGTTTTGGACAAGAGTCTCGAGCGTGGTTCGCGGGCTGAACGTGGAGTGGCACGTAACCCACTGAGCGCGGATCAGATATTAGAGCAGTCGCTGCATGCCAAGAGTGGCATGGTCTGCCAAGGGCCGAGGCATCAAGGGCGAGACCCTTATGATGCACGTGGAGTGGCACTTAGCCCGCTGAGCACTGCTCACATTTTAAAGCAGTTGCTGCATGCCAAGAGTGGCATGGTCGGACGAGGTCCGAGGCACCCTAGACAAAGGATCTATTTATGCGCGTGGAGTGGCACGTTATTAACTGACGAAGACTGCGGAAATAGCAGCTCTCACCATCGACCAATTGCTCATGAGAACGAGTGATATTCCGCTGACAGCGATTAGTACTCCGAGCAGGGTCTCTGGGAGTTGCTGGTGATGCCTCAAGGGCTGTCAGATGCACCAGCAACATTTAGTCGTTTTTGTGACGCAGTTGTTCAGACCCCATTGGGCGTATGCTCAGACATACTTTGACGACATCCTCATCCACAGTCCTGGGGGCACCGGAGGACAGATGAGGAAAACGACATCGTCCATTTGAGAGCGGTGCTCGAGTGCATGCGCACGAGTTAGCTGTATGCTAATACCGATAAGTGCTTTTTGGCGCGGAAGAAATATCCTTTTTAGGGTGCTTTGTTAGGAAGCGTGGCCTTCGAGCGGATACCGCTAAGGTCTAAGCCACTGTAGACTGACCGGTTTCAAAGAACCAAAATGACTTGTTAAAGTAGCTTGGTCTCGCCAACTACTGGCACAAGTATAGCGCAAATTATGCGCAGGCTAGGAGCTGCTCCGATTGAGCGCGATATTCCTCGACGTGAGCCAGTTGGTGCACAAAGAGCTCCAAGCTCTCTAGGTCTTTCGCACAGCGGTAGGCGACCTCGGCAAGATTGCCAACGACGGAGGACTTCGTCCTTAAGAGCTCGAAGAGAATCGCGAGTTACCGGACGGCGATCGGCCAAGTCGTCATCGTCCACCGCATTGTGCCAATTTTAGCTGGAAATACTACGATTGCTCTCAACGAAAACGATGGCGTGCACTATCACGTGGAACATCTTGCGGGTCGACGTTGTCGACAGGGTCAAACCCAATATCTTGTGAGATGGTGGGTATACCCAAACTCCAAGAACTCGTTGGAGTTTGAGATTGCACAGACGTCGTGGACGCTTATGATCAGAATGATCATGACACTTCGCGTCGTCATGCGCACTGCGTTCTCGGCATTAGCCCGGGAAGCTGGAGGGCCATGAGCTGAGCTCAAGCAATGGCCTTGAGCTACTGTGGTCGTAGACTCACCCGTTTCAGAATCCACAGAGCTCGAGGGGGTATTATGGATTGTTCCATATGTTGCAGGGCAACAATACGCAGGAAGTTGGCGTTGCGCCTTGAGTTTGGCAAACTCAAATCAACGATGGCGCTCACCGCGCACGTCCACTTCCTTGTGGCTTCGCTGTCAGGTAGACAGCGAATATTGTTTCCGGTGCCGCTGCACCCATCGCTCAAAGAGCTCATCGTCATCTGCATCGGTTTCGCCAGGGGCAAGCACCACAGAGACGCATTGCGGGAACAGGATCACCTCTTTTTGAGCTCGAAGTTGAGCGCAATACCGATCCATTGGGTTCTCTTGGAGTAAAAAAAGCGAGCTCGCGAAGCTGTCCGCTGATCAAGCCCAGCTTGTGTAGTTGCCGGGCGTCCGTCTACGTAGTCGCCTAACGATCGAGTGATCGCGTCTTTTGCTTCTGTAGCGGGATCCGCCGAGTGGAAGCCGTATCCCACACGAGGGTCTTAGATCGAACGTGGATACAAGCGCAGAAGAGCCGCCCTGTGAGCAGCCTCTAATTTCTGCTCCTGTGCCTCGTCGAGGCAATTGGATATGTCGCGCCGTTGGCGTTATTCATCTTCTTCGTCATCCTATGCTAGTAAGGGAGTGTCCGACTCGTAGTCGACTTCCTCCAACTCCTTTACGAGGAAATTCGTCGCCCGGGGCGGGGGTGGTGTGTCGCGCTCAGTCGCTGAGAGCTTGGGATGATCTACCCGTGAACTCGCGGACGTATGTACGGAGATGCACCCTGTGCACAAGACGACAAAGGGCTTTGCCCGCAGGCGCCATCGCAACCAGCTAGTGTTTTGTGTGTCGTAGACACAGGGCTCATAGAGCGGAGAATGTTTAAAGTTGTTTTTAAAGAACGTTAAATGTTAGACACGCGAGCCTCGTATAAGGCGACGGTTAATGTGGGTTGAGGTTTTTCACAATTTTAATGGGGTGAAGTGTAACGGGGTTGCACGTATTCTTGTAAGAAAGGGCGGTTTGCACAAGATTGCGCGACCGTACAAAGTTGTGTATTACACAAGTTAGGTAATCACACAATGCTGTGGTTACACCATAATCAGAAACCACCACGTGGCAGGATTGCCAATAATAATGCGTGTTACTAGATTTTTTAGATTTTACTGAATTAACTAAGTATTACTGTATTTATCATAAAAACCTAGGGTTTTATATATTGGCAGCTCTGCCACATCAAAAACAATTAAATACAGTTCAATTTTGAACATAAGTGTTCGTTTGCCTTGCTTAAGCGGATTGCGACCGCTACACTCGTACTAGTTCTTGGAAAAAACGTAAGACCGATGACCTTAGCTGACTTTTCGCGAAGCAAAAAGCTACGGCAGCCCCGCTGCATACAGCGAGCGTCATTCGATGAAAATCTAATATTGAGAGCGTGTTGCTGGAAAGCTCGCGCTTCAAGACAAATTTGTATCAAGTTTTCCAAATTAGCAAAATGGTAGTCAAACAAAACCTAGATCCATTGCCCACATAATGCTTATGAAGTCTATTATGTCACATTAGTCGTGACGTACACATTACACTATTGCCTCTATTGTCTTTTTGACTTGAACCAAGTCTAGAAGTACCAACGAAAAGTGATTTCTCGTATATTACAAGAGAAAGTTAACGGTGATGAGTGGCCTGTGGTACACGTTGGCTGTAACCCCTACGCTATGCAGTCAAGCAGATATCTTTCGTATCAATCTTAGCTACACCTACTTAAAGTAAAGAGAAGCAAAGTAGTACATATTTGCTCGAGCGGCTTTTGATTCCGATCCAGGATGAAGCAGTAAGAGTTAATTATCGTACGTTGGGATAAATGCTCCCGCAAATCTGGGCGACACGGAAGCGTATTTGTTATGGCATCACTCCACCCGGCTTTCTTGCTTCCCATATCGACTTAAATTCTCAGCACTATCGGATAACATCGTGCCTTTATGCGAGAGATGCGGCGAGGATTTTGCTCTTACAAACTGGATCGATCACAGATGACTTTGATATGAGCAGGTATGCCTGACTCGACAAAATACAGTAGATCCTCGTCACGAGCAAAATACTTTTTCTTCTGCTTTAAGCTGGTGGATATTTGATGCAATACTGTATTTGTGCCCACTAACATTTACATGCAGCAACGTAGCTTATGGCAAAGGCCTGAGCGATACATACGACATGAATTGACCGATCCAGATTTAAGATACTAAAAGAGTATAATAGGTTGTCATCACATCCTTGAATGCTGCCTCTTCGTCCGCACCCGAATAACATTTGATATCTTACATAAACTGTTATACCAGCTGGCGTAATTTGCTCTTAGCGTACGGCAAGTCACTTTTTAAAATTTGTTAAGGGACAGCGGCACTGGCTAACTTAATAAGGGTTTGATCCTTGCCGGATATGTCCTCAGCCCATTGATTGTCTGAGCATTCCAGACATTCGATGTTGTAGGTGCTAACAACGCGCTTGTCCGTATTCGTAAGCAAATATTTCATGCGCAAACA